TTCCCCCAGCCCCTCCATCGGGGTCCAGCCTCCCGGGACCGTGGTCTTCCCGTGGTTTGGGGCCAGGGGATTTGGCACCTCTCGGGGACGTCCCTTCGGCGCGGCTGCGAGGTGCCAGGGCTCTGTGTATTAACAAGGCTTTAATTCCCTCCCCCTCCAGCTGACCCCTGTGCTAATCGCCTAATGGAAAAAGCACTGTATCCCTAACGAGACCCAGATAGCCGCGCCGGCCGTGGCCAGCCCCGCTGTCACACGGGCGGGAGCCGAAACCTCTTCCAGATGTGGAATCCCAGCACAGGCCTCATTTATGTGCACAGCTTGATTGCACTGAAATTACAGATTGTCTGCAGGGAATAGAGGGCTTTGACTTATGACCAATTTCCAGTTCTACTTGAACTCCCCTCTCCGAGGCCAGTTTATCCTGGGCCCTGCAGATGGTTTCTTTCTCAAACCTTTTTCAGCTTTTTATTTGTTATTTATTGGGCTGCAGCTCCGGCAGGTTTGGTTTTTCCAGGGTTGCGGTGCTGCCCGGTGCATCGGAGCATCCCAGCCCTGCCGCCCTGCGCCGGCTGCGGAGGTTTCGCCCCCTCTCCGGGGCTTATTTTTCCTGTGCTAACAAAAGCCGAGTGTTGGAACAATAATTTTCACCATCCAAAATAGCCTGGCATGACGTGAGGCTGGAGGCAACGCCCCGGGCACGTTGCGGGGAGGAGAAGAGCCCCTGAGCGCCCAAACAAAGTGGGGAAGGGGTGGCCCCAGCCATGGTGGGGGGGTCTCCGACCCCCTTGCGCTGGGAGCTGCGAGGTCTCCCCTGGGGTGCTGCTGCCTCCAGAGCCCTTCCCGGTGCCGGAGCCTTCGGCACCTCTCGCCAGTCCCGGGGCCCCTCTTTTCTCTTCCTAAAATCCCTCTGCAAACCAGCGAGCTCTGCTCGGGGCGCAGCCTGCGCCATATCTGCTGCGAGCATATGCTTTGAATTAATGCACTTGGAGAGCAAAGCGTAGCCGGCCTCCCCACCCCCACCGCAGCCCCCCCTTATTAACCTCCGTGCCGCTGCCTGTGCCTTTCCCCTGCCTGCCCGGGCCGGGGAGCCACCGTCTCCCCTCATCCTTTTTTGGTTGGGTCCAGAGGAAGTTTATTGTTTTAGCAGCCCAGTTTCTGGAGCCGTTATTTATCCAAGTGGATTCCAGCACGCTTGAAAAAACAATCTTTTTTTTTTTCACTTTTGGCTCCTCTTTTTGTGATGAAAAAAAGAAGAAGGGGATCTTTCTATCTCCCCGCCTGCAGCCTCGCGGGGTCCGAGCCCTGAGAGCCCTGGTGCGGGTGGGTTGGAGCGAGGATGCTGAACCCTTTCCAAGGCTGAATCCCCCGGGGACAGGAGGATGCTCCTCGGGGGGGCTCCCTCCCGCCGCCCCCATCCCCGCCTGCGGCCGCGCATCCCCCCGTCGTTTCCGTTTGACTCGACGCTCCGGTCCTTAATCCCCGCATTGTCCGGAGAGACTTTTCCAGCCATCACTCAATTAGCTGATTATTGTCCCGGCGGCGGGGCTGTCCCCAGCGGGCGATGGGAGCCCACCCGCCCACGCACCGTGGTGCTGGAGGGGCTCAGGGCAGCTGGGTGGGCTGAAGGCGCCGTTTTGGGTGGGAAGATGCTGGAGTGGTGCAAGGGCGGTTGGGTGTTGAGGGCTGGGGGTGCGCGGGGGGTCCCCAGCCCTTTGCGCCGGGTTGAGGGGGTACCTCTTGTCGCGGTGTTTACCGGCGCTGCCGAGGTGAGGAGTCCCAGCCTGGGCCAGAGCCAAGGCACAGCCAAGTCACGGCTCCTGAGGAACACAGCTGTGCTTTCATGGCCTGCCAAGCCCCGCGGACGGCTGGGACGTGGGGGCACCGCATCCCCTCTGCAACCCCCGGCCCCGCGCGGACCTCAGCGAGCATCTGGGGAACCACCACAACCCTGCCCGAGGCGCTCCCCAGCCCACCGGCAGACAGAAAGGAGAATAATGCCTGCAGGGAGATTTGAGGGGCAGCGGGGTTTGCTTCCAGCCTCCCATCCACTTCCCTCCCCAGCCGATCCCTCCTCCTGGCCGGGCATGAGAGCGGGGGCAGCTCTTGGGGTTTGAAATCCGTCTGAGGGGTTCGGATCCGGCCCCGGTCCCACATGCCGAGGGCTGGGTCCCAGTGCGGGGTCCCGCCGCCCCAGTGCGGCTCGGGGGCTGCTCGCCCCTGACCCCCGCGTGTTGGGTTGGGGTGGCCTCGTGGGCACGCTTATTCCATCATGTTTTGGTGTTTCTCGGTTAATCTCCTGTAAGTGGATAGTGCACAGGGCTCTGCTGCCTGCGGACGCGTGGGGCCGGAAAGTCCCGTGGAGCCTGATGGGAACTTCCTGGGAAAAAAAAAGGAAAACATTTTGGAACATAATATCCATAAAAGTAGCAAAACCAAAATCAAACGTGTTTGAGGATGTGAGTTGTAACAGGGGAACGTGACCCTGCTGGCTTCTACAGGATAGGGGAAGGAAGAACCAGGATCGCTACTCGGAAAGTTTTATCAGGAAGAAAACTTTCAGTCGAATTGTTACCGTCAGTGCAATTTTTGTGTGCCAAACACTGAGTTTGGTCGAGGACCTCTTTTCCTTAAGGAAGGGCGGACCAGGCACCTAGCAGCGGGGTGTTGCAGGGATGGGCAATGCCCGCGGCTCAGGGTGCCCCCTGCTCCATGCTGGGGTCCTGGCTGTTCCCGTACTCCCCAACAGCTGCTCCCAAGGGGCTGACGGCTCCAGGGGTGCCTTCGCCCTCAGCCGAAGCACACCATGGGGAAGGCATCCTGCGGCTGCTTTCCCGGCCGTTGGCGGGCGGGTTCCTGGCCCGGCCGCCTGGCTGCAGATCACAGGGGAGGCCGATCCCATCGGGACCACGGGAGCGTTGCCTTTTAAGGCGGGGAGTTCTGTTTTTATGGCAGAGGCGCGGATGGTCCCAGGGGTCCGCGAACAAAGCCAGCGTTCCTGGCACCGGGGCTCAGCCCTGGGGGCGGCCAGGGGCTGCGTTCCCAGCTGGACGCAGCTCTCCGGTGCACTGGGCCCCTGGTGCAGGCAGCTGGCTGCCTGCTCTCTGCCCGCTGCGCTGGCAGCACATCCATGGTTGTAACCCCCTGCAAAGCCCTGGGAGCCTCTGGCACGGCTGGGTCCAGCTTGCCCAGGGTGCACAGTCCTCCCTGCCCAAAGGGGAGGATCCATCCTGGGTGAGTGATCCTCCATCCGTGGAGGATCCATCTCCATGCCGGGGACCCCTCTGCCGCCCTGGGCCAGGACGCGGGACCAAACACAGGAGGTGTGAGACCAGAGTCTCGTGCACTCATCTGGTTTCTGCATTTGCAGCTCACACATCCCCAAAGGGTTGTTTCAGCAGGGTCCAGTGTGCACCCCAGCTCAGCCCCCAAGATGGGGGGGGGCTCTGCTCACCCCTGAGGTCCCCCCGTGTGCACGCAGCCTGCGGAGGCTTTGCAGGGTTGTGAAATCCATTGCCGCTGCAATTAAAACCTTCTGGAGCTGTTGGGGCCGGCACGGCTTTGAGCAACAGCCAACGCCGTGATGGGGAATCAAGGCATGCCATGGGGCTGCCGTGTCCTGGAGCCGGGGCTGCTCCGGGAGCGATGCTGCTCCGGGAGCATCCCTGCTGCCCTCTGCTCTGGGCAGGGTCCGGGGCTGAGCCTGCCACTGTGTGGCACCAGTGCTCACTGCTGCTGTGCTGGGGCAAGCGGAGCCCCACGAAAGCAGGGTCCCTGCAGGGAGGAAAGGGCGAGACGTGGCCCTGGCCGTCGTGGCTGGGGGCGCCAGCGGGTGGGAGGAAATTGCAGGGCGGGGGGGGGG